GGGGGACATGTGGCAGCTGCCCACTGGGCGAGACCTCACCTCCTAGGACCCATGCAGTGGCCCTGGCTGTCAGGCTGGTAGAATGACGGTGACGGTGACGGACACACTCAAGGCAGGGTTGCGAGCCATCAGATGGCCCTTGCTCTCGGCGAAAACAACAACACTCTCGGGACCCGGGGCTCACTGGGCCCAGCCTGGGTCACCCCTTCCACTTCACCACCACCTGTGGGGACCACCGCTGGCCCACCAGGCAGAGGAGGCCCAGGGAGCCGGCAGGCAGAGAGAGGGAGACAGTCTGGCCCTGCCCTTCCTTCTGGCCACCGACCAGGGCCTCACGACACGGCCCCACTGGGAACCTGAAGCCATCCTACCACGAAGGTAAGCCCTGAGGGCATGTGGACACCTGATAGGCTCTGCAAGTGGGCAGGGGCTTCCTCCAGACCCCCTCCTCTCTCTGCCCCACACCCCCCAACACAGAAGAAAAAGGCACTTACTGAATGCTCGTCGTGGTCCATGTTCTGGGCCAGAACAGGGCTGAAGGAAACAGGGGACAGGGCTCCCGGCTTCTTCCTCACCGCCCGGATCTGCAGAAGGGCCCGGAAGGCTATGGCAGAGGGAAGGGCTCACATCAGGCAAGGAGCAGCCAGTTCCAGCACCAATGAGGCCCTCGGGGCTCCAGGGACACCGGCTACCCACCCACCCCACCGAGGTCCTAGAACAAGCCATGTTTCCAAATAGAGGCAAAACAGAGTCACAACAGAGCGGCCCAGAAGAGAGACAGATGAGCCAGCAGTGCACGACCCTGGTTCAGGCGGAGCTTCTGGGGCAACAAGCAGGGCGCCACCAGCCTCCCACAGGCCGAACCCTGGACTATACACGCAACAGTGCGTCTGTGTCACACCTGGCGACCAGCTAAAAGCTCAAGGTGTGCCCTGGACACTGGCCAGTCTCCTCCTGAAGTCATACCAAGGGTAGGCAGACATATGTATGTGAACGCCGACAGCACAATCTCTACACTGGAAAACCAGCAGCAGCAAGAACTGGGAAAATCAATCAGGACGCAGGCTACTGGTCGTCCCGGGCTGTCAGTTCCCCTAACAGGAGTGTAACGTTGATGAGAAGTGCAGCTTGCACCCACGGTACACAGCTGCATGCCGTACCAGCAATTGCCAGGGACACCCATGTCCCCAGCGCTGACGGCAGCTGCCCCAGGCTGCAAGCCTCAGAGACAAGGGCCCCGGGGCCTCCACGCCAGGCCGCGGCCGAGAATGCCCAGGAGACAGGGCCCGTGGGGGATGCTGGCCTTCGGCCCCCGCTCCCCTGCTCCTAGCCTGTTCCTCCCATGGGAGAGGCTACTGGCCCTGCTGCCTGACCCTCCAGGGCCAGCACGTCGGCCCCCTGCAGTCTCCCCCACCAACCCCTGAGGTCTCATCAGGGCTGGACTCTGGACCCCCAGACCCCACAGCCTCATCCTCTACTTCCACACGCTCGGCCTGCCCTGTGGCCTCTGCACACACCCGTCTATCCCAGGGGGACAACAGGTGTAGACCCACCCCTGTGCCTTACTAGGCTGTGAGCCCCAAGACAGTGAGAAGACAGGCATGGCAGCTGGGGCCGCAGGGCTGCGTGGTGACGCACGAGTACCCCCAGGAGGCCCCAAGGAGGCCGACTGGCACACTGAGGTGTGAAAGGGCAGGATGGCTTTCTCCAAAAAGCCGCCCTCGCTCCTCACCCACACCCTGGGCTCCCTTGCTGCCGGGACCCACCCGCCAGCTTGACGCTCATCTTGATCCAGTGGGATTTTCTGTCCTGAGAATGTTTAGATTCCTCCACTGGAGGACAAACACTTGGTTCAGAATTAGCTTTGAGAAAATGTCTGCAGCGCTCCAGGAAGCCCATCCCTCCTCAGTCAGCTTTCCACCTCACCAGGTCTGGTCTTTAAATCCAAACATTTTCCACTTAATGGCCGGAGTCACTGGCCAACGTCTATCTGTCCGGGTCCAACGTCACCACAGGCACCCGCCCTGGCACAGCCTCCCAAGTCTATTTTCGGAGGATGAGAGCCACGCCACGTGCCAGCGCAGTCGCGTGGGTCCCAAGCACCTGTGCCCAAGGTGGGCGGCCGCCAGCCCCCGGCCCCCTGGGCCCCCCACTCACGCAGCCGGCAGATGGGGCAGTTGCTGGCCTGGTAGCGCAGCGTGTCCGCGCACGAGTTACACAAGCACAGGTGCCTGCAGGGCAGGATCAGCGTGTCCCGCGGGTCCGACAGGCACACCACACACTCGCTGCTGTTGTCGCTGTTCTCCTCGTCCGACGGCTGTGGGGACACCGAGGGACAAGCGTCGGCGGGCTCCCCAGGGCCGCAGGCAGGGGCCAGGACGGGGGGCGGAGCAGGGAGCTGTTCCTGTCCCCGGCCGGCCCACCGGCGGCCCCCCACTTCCCCAGGGGGAAGCCCAGAGGGCGGAAGGAGGTCACCGTGGAGCAGGACTCCTCGGGAGATGCGGCCCAGAGCCGGCCCAGCCCGCGCCAGCCCCAAGGCAGAGAAGAGAATCTATGCCCCACCCCCAACACACTCTCCAAACCAAGAAACTCGGGTCTCATTTTACACCTCAGAACCACAGAGAAAACGTGGAAACGACCCAGCAGCACGGAGCGTATCTCGCAGAGGACACCCACTTACGGGGCTGAAACTGAAAAAAATCAGACAAGTCTAACTCGTCTAATCAGAACTAGTGTCTGGATCAAGAGTCAGTGAACGATGGCCCCACCATGTTTCTGTAAATCAGGCCTGACGGGAGCCCAGCCTTGCCCCCTCGTTTCGGAACAGCTACGCTGCTTGTGCGTTATCTGTGAAATCAGGGCACGGAACAGATCGGACAGACGGCCAGTCACGGCGAAGACACGCACTCCCAGGCTGTTTAGTGGCGGCCGGCCCACCTGTGGTGTTAACGCGGGAAGCACACTGGGGCGCTCCTTCGAGAATAAGGGCCGGACCAAACTGCCCTGACTTCGGCTTTCAGCCGATCTCAGCTGTCACAGAAGCTCGCGTGTAGGACTTCCAGAAACTTCCAGAAACGTTTAAAAAGAGATGGCAGTTTCCCTAGTGCCTTTCACAAACAATGACAAAGGTCCAGGCTGATTCTCTGGCACCCTTCCCTGGCCGGGCCAGACAACAGCTCCGGCAACCACGCGCTCTGGCTACAGGCGCACAGGGGCTCGCGACTGGGGGGCGGGCCGGCTGGCGAGGGCAGCACGGGCTCCCCCTGAGGGGGTGCGAAGGAGCCCCACACACCAGGCTGTCCCTGCCCACCTGATGGCTGGCAACCCAATGACATTAACAAGTCAGGGAATTTGCTGGAAAAAGAACAAAATGCCCACAAATTCTGTTAACTCTTCTATTTATTCATTCATTACTGTTACTATTTTTAAGTCATCCCTACACCCAACGTGGGGCTCGAACCTACAACCCCGAGATCAAGAGCCGCACGCTCACCGACCCAGCTAGCCAGGCGCCCCTCCCTATTAACTCCTTTAAAAAATTAAGGAAAAATGGGCACCCGGGTGACTCAGTCAATTGGGCATCTGCCTTCAGCTCAGGTGATGATCCCAGGATCCTGGGATCGAGTTCCACCTCAGGCTACCTGCTTATTGGGGAGCCTGCTTCTCCCTCTGCCCTTCCCCCCTGCTCGTGATCATGCTCTCTCTCAAATAAATAAAATCTTTAAAAAAATAAATAAAAACAAAATAAAATAAAAAATTAAGGGAAAATGGAGTCTGGGGTCGCAGGGCCTCCCAAGGAAGGCACACATAGGGACTAACTCATCTACCACTGGCCCACGGGGCCCTGGCCAGGGCTGGGGGACCCAGGCAAGCCCCTCCAGGAGCCTGTTTCCGTGTAGGTGGAAGGGAAGCTGGGGAGCGAGCTCCTCCTGCAGTCCCAGCAGATACCACCACAAGCACATACCTTTGTCTCCTGGTTGTTCTTGTTCTCGATGCCGTAGATCTCCTGCAGCAGGTAGCTGACCCGGTCCACCTGGAGAAGAGAGAGGAATCTGGGCACTTGCCAGCCCCCACTTAAGGGCTCCGCTGCACCCACATGGCCCAATGCCACTTTCCAGGGGCTAGGCTCAGGTCCCAGAGCAGGTGTGGTTTGAAATTCTGTCCACCTGCCCCTCAGGGAGTGGGCCCAGTGCCAGGAGAAGGGCGGAGAACCTGCTACTTGCCCAGCCCACCTAGGAGCACGGGCAGTGGGGGGGGG